TTTTTTTTTTCTTTTTGTACAGTACACTCCGAGTTCCCCCAAGCCTTGAACCTTTGGGATTGCAAGACGAGGGATGGGAAATCCCCCCCAACCCAAAAAAGACGATACGCGAACGCGACAGATACATACCATACATACCTTCTCCGCTCCCTTTTTTTTCTTCTTTTTTTTTTAGAAAGAAAGAAAGAAAGTAAGAAAGAAAACAAAAAGACAAAGAAAACCAAGAATCCCCACCTACCTACTTACCTACCTACCTGAGCGTAATCTTTTGATACCCACCTTCTTCCTCAATAACGTATTTCATACGCGCGCGCCTGCGAAGGCTTCATGACACTTACTATACCTACGGATGAAGATAATTGGAAGATTCTGCAGGGATCGGGAGGTTCTACACGGGGAAACGACACAAGGAAGACAGACGGACAGCGCGTATTTATATTCTTGGGGGAGAGACACGATCGCGAATATCACATCACCTCTTTTGATCGACTCATTGCTTGCACTTTGGTTTCTTTTTTTTGATATTTTTTTTCATTATTTGTTTATTCTTTTCTTTTTCGGTGGATTTTCTTGATACCCAATGGCTTTCTCCTTTCAGTTTTCTTCGAGGGAGCAGAAAACCTTTGTTGGAGTGTTTATTTACCTTTGCTTTAGCCGCGTTTTCGGTCAACATGATTCTTTTGTACCTAGGTCATTGGGATTTGTTTGCTCATGCTCAAAATTGGGATGAACCAGATGGGTTCTTGGTAGCCTTTTATTCCATATTTCTCTTAATATTTATAGATTCTTCGAGTCAGCTCAACCAAAAGAATGGTAGAATGTGTCTTTACAAGGATTACGAGATTTACTCTCTGCAACACATCTTCCACTTGTCCAATGCGACGTACCAATGCGAAGGTTGAAAATTGCGGGAGCTGAAGATATGGCACACAAGGGGAGACAGTGACAGTAAAGACGATGAGGTGGTCCAGCGTCTATGTGCGATCCAGAGGGTTGGAAGAAAAGGAGACGTGCAGAAGCGCAGAAGCGCAGAAGCGCAGAGTAGTCCTACAAAACATTTATGAGCCTCTCCTGACAGGCGTTCCATCAACTCCCTCCTGTCATTGCCCCCTTGTTTGTCGAAATGACATTCTCATTTATGTATATATCCGTAGACGGCTACGCTCGGGACGTTAAGAGGGGACTTTGGAAATGGGATATGTGCAGAATCGTTGGCCATCATATCAGGGGAAGTTCGGTTGTCTGGGAGGGAGGTCTTGAATTCGAAACGTGGCTACACATGCGTTAGCAGCGCTCCCGAATAACTGGAAATCTATTGACGGGTCTCGGGAAGGGTCATCCTTTCTGCTATTGGTATAACTCCAAGGTACTTGCACACCAAACTTCACAAATCTTTTTGCACCCGGAATTATTGTCAATCCGGTGTTGCCCCTGATTCCCAAGAGAACTGAGGTGTGCCATTCGGTGACGGATGTAAATCAACAACGGGACGAGGTAGGTTCTGGAACGGGACCCAAGCCGCTTCTGCCTTTCACTGTCACCGTCGTCGCCACCGTTATCCGCCCTCCCGAAAACCGGCATCCTTCCATTGGAATTCGGTCGCCTTGTTTGAGGTTAAATGGAGAAGGAGATGCTCGACTGATTGGCGCGTGAGACGGCTACACGCAGACGGGTACCTCAGGTTAGCGGCCTTGATCAGAAAGCTTCTTCGAGATGAGTGGATGTTACCTGATAGGTACAGTAGTCGCAGGGTCAGAATGTCAGATTGAAGAAGTGATGTGTCGTGTTTCTCCATCTTTCCCGTTAGCTGTCTGTCGTAAATGATTTCCCAGAGACCCCAATCTCGGACCATGTTTCGGAAGGGAATCATTGGTGTCTCTATTCCTTCTAGAAGTGAATCTTCGTGCTGAGACGGTTGCTTGAATGGCGGACGGGGCTTCAAGTCTTTCTTTCAGGGAGAGAATTGGAATTGTAGGATTGGGGATTTCGTGGCAAGTCAATGCATTGGGCGATCTTGCACTCTGGATCTTCAAATGCCTTGGTTTATTACCGTTACCCTAATTGGTAACATTGTGGTCCTGATTCGTCTACTTGCATATAGTATTGTGTAACGTTGCCGATCAGAAGAGGAGCGAAGAAAGGGGGTGTCTTTATCATTTTCCTCGATTCTCGCGATCTTTGGGCCATGGGAAGGACTTTGGAAGGCCTTGAGGATCGATGAAATCGTCAGTACGGATGGGCGATAGGTGAGAGGTGAGAGTGTTGCACAGGTGATGAAGGGAATGGGCTGGAGGAAGTAGCTGGGTAGGTTTGGGAAGTTTTAACTGATTGAGTCTCTAGAGGAGATGGTGAGAGGAAGGGGAAGTTGAGCAGAGAAATGTACCTTCCTCGAAAGACTTTTGGGTTGAAAGGGGAAGGAACGAGAACCCTAATCCTCGTTTAGACTTCCTTTTTCATTCCAAGGATACGTAAGTATACTTTCAGGTTTCTTTCCTTCAAACAATGCTACTCGTCGGAAATAGCTCCTGTGGCTTCGGATAACCCACGAGGTCAATGGACATGCCTTCAGGCTGTTTCTCATTTTCTGCCCTCATTCCTAAGCTATTCCAATTGTTGTTCGTTGCTCAACCATTTTGCAACGACGGCTAATATATAATGGACTTTGACTCCAGTTACAGCTCAGTTGCCCATGACGGTCGCAGTAACATTTATTCTGCCTACTTTCGAATAAGCTTGAGTCCCCATTTCGAGTTTCCATGACGGACTCCCTTGATCGAGAACATGAGCTGCAATAACGATGAAACACACAGAGGCTGGTTGGCGCAAGAAACACACAAGCGATGATGTTGGGAGAAGGAAGAAGACTGAAGTAGGTCCAGTCACTTCATTCCATGCAAGTCTTCGTACAGACCTTCAGAATACCAGCTGAACCATATCCCCTAAGCGAAATCTGTTGGCTAGGTTTGTAGGGAAAGCACAGCTTGTTCTGAATTCGCAGAAGCTTGGAACTCTCTCAGGAGAGGAGACTGGCGCTTCCCGACTGGTTGAGGCAGAGGAATCGTCAAGCAAGTGCTCTGGCGTTGGAACTTCGTCCGTCCCTAGCCTGCTAGATCGTTCCTTCCTACCTAGCCATATCGGTTGTGGATATCAAAGTTAAACTCTAGCCGAGCCAAGCCTCGAGGTTTCTCTATGGGTATTTGCCCAACTCTCAGGACAAAGATGTTGTGATATGCGGAATATGTAAAGGTCAATCTGGTTGAGCGGGGAATCTCAAACTCCAGGATTTGAGGATTGCTGCCGTTGAGGGTCAATTTTATCGAGGAATAAATATACAAAGGGGCTGCGATATATTTGGTGGGAGGGAGTCTTCTTTGATAACACTTGCTAGGAATATCATCTAGTCACCCCTCTAGTTTAGAACAGAACCAACAGATTTGACCGGATGCTAAGCTAACGAAAATCCTTTCCTCCCCAAAAACAATGACCAAAATTCCAAACGATGCAATTCCATCATTTCTCGCCGGAAGATTGTGCAGCCACTACAAGTAACAACTCCATAACCCCATCATGAATCTCCAATCTTGTCTCGCCTTTCTTATGGCTTGCATCCTATTCCACACAACACTCGCCGACTACGGCCAACACTGTTACGGCGCGAACATCCTAAGCCCCACCCCAGCCACCATGCTCCAAGTCGCAAAATTCATCTGCGACGGCGAGAAATACGTCAGTTTCAACACAGACTGCCAGCCAAACGGGTGTTGCAACCTAATAGAAGCATGGTATAACGGTACATCCGGAGGCCACCGAGAACAATGTATGGTAAGCACCTTTACTTCCCTTCTTTCCCCGAGACTTAGAGTTGACTTTAACACGGATGCATAGTCTGCATACAAGTTCATCGTACGAGAACTGATTCAGAACCGAGGTCACCAGTCGGATTTCTTTGAATATCTTACGGAGGATTATATTGTGCAGTATCATGTTGGTGCGACGTTTGTTTGTTATCGGAGTGCGGAGTCGATGAGTACGCTGCTTCCTGATGGGTTGGGGGTGAAGGATAATATTAATGGTTCGTTTGAGGTGAGTACGGCGAGCTCGAGGACGGTGTCTCGTGTTGGGTTGCCGACGGGGGTGGTCTTTAAGGAGGTGAGGTATGAGCCGTTTGAGAGTGGGGATGATTCGGATTGGGAGTTTGATAGGGATGGGGAAGGAGATGGTGAGTTTACAGAGGCGTGGAGGTAGAGATGATGTTTTGAGGATGTTGGTGTGGGAGCATGGTAACCATCGGTATGGGTAGACTATAAGGAGAGAATCAAAAGATGGGACAATGGAGTGTCGATTGACGTGTATGAAATGGATGAAATCATGGCCCAACAAGGAGGAAATGAGGGCAGCTTGGAAGGTTTACAAGGCCTACTTGAGTAGAGGCTAACCGGTTGTACCATGTACATATTGTCAGATATAAGGATATCTTTGGTCATTAGGATGGGAAGTCTTAGGTAACTTGGTAAAGAATATTACCGTGTGCCTCGATTTCAATACTTGGCCTGTGAGAAAGACGTGTCACTATTTTGGCTAGATTTCAACAGTACATTCATAATCAGTATACCTCAAGAATAACTCAACGCGCGAACACACATTAATGAATTCTCTATCATTATCGATACCACTCGGCTAATTCTTATTTCTTCACTAAACTAGTGAGGGAATGAAACCAGAAAATAATACACCTCTTTAACGAAGCCCTTGAAAAACGCCTAAAAAGTGCCAGGGGAGAAAACAAAAAGGATTTAAGAGTAGAAAACTTGAGTTAACTCGAGAAGTAGCAAAATATCCAATTCCCAAGCATGTACTATGAGGATGAGGGAACGCTCGGTGAGAAACAGTCGGGCTGTTTTCTTTGGGTTGTAAATATCGGTCTTTTGGGTCAACGAGGAGATCACTTGTTTGCTGGTTGTGGGAGGGTTTGTTTGAGTTTGAGAGTGGAGTTTTGGGGGGGGGAGTGAATGTGGTTCTGTTGTGCTGGATTTACATGTGTTACGCTCCACTGTTTTGGGCTACATCATGTGACTTAGCGGCCCACTATTCTCCTGTATATAATGCCTACGTGGCCACTCCCAGTTCTATAATCAATCAATCACTTTTGTGTCATTCCCAGCCCAATAGGTTCTTTGGTATGTTGGCTAGACCTAACTTTGAAGACTACATGCATGGGTGAGGAAATCTGGGAAGTGGGTTGATACTTGTATAAATAGTAATGATCATTTCCCAGCCTCTAATTAATTGTTTAAAAAACTCTCCAGAATTCCTCCAAACATCCACATCATCCCCCCATCTCCCCTTTCTAAAGCACCCACATTCCACCCCATCACCTACAATCACAACCCCAACCCCACAACCAAACCCACAAAAACCAAACTCCAAGCCCCCAACGTATTCCTCCCCGCCATACCCACAAACCCCATCGTCCCATTAAAACTAGAATTCCCACCATGCCATGTCCCACTACCAGTACCAGTCCCATTCATCTTCATATAATTCCCCACAAGCGAAGCATTAACCACCCCCGGCGCAGGAACCTCATCATAGAGTCCGCAATTCGCGTCAGAGGCAAGAGGACAGGATGCATCGATGCAGATTGCTTGGAGTTGGGGGCTTGATTTCCGATGGCTGTTGGGGGTGAGCAGCGGGAAGTGAAGAGGCTTGTAAGGGTGTTGAACCACTGTGCATGTTAGTATTTTGGGGAAGAAGGGATAGCTGAGGAGAAGGGGGGTGGGTGTTGGGGTGGGGGGACTTGCGATTGTGGTGTCCGATGGGGAGAAACCTATGGATTTTGCGGCGAGGGTGAGTTGGTATACGAACCAGCCTTGTTCGTAGGGGTCGATTTTCATGTATCTATACAAGGTTAGAATGTAAAATAAACATTCTGGGGTCATGATCGGAGGAGTGAGATGGATGAAAATTGGTTTGACTTACTTGTGAACTTCGTACATGCTCGTTTTCCCAGCATACGCTGGGAAAGATGGATCTTTGCCTTGGAGTGAGCAATTGAGTAGAACACCAAAGTAATCCCAAACATGCGTGAGAAGTATACTATCAAGGTTAACATGTTTGTATTGAAGGGGTATCGGTGATCAACATACTATTGAGCAGAATTCACATTCCCGTTAGAAGCCATACTTTTACCAATCGGCACAGCTCCGCCATCATCAAGAAAGTTCTTTGCGACTCCATACGGATGTAGGCCATCATTCGTGGAGTAAAGAGCAGCATCAAAGTACTTTAGTAGATTGACTGATGTGCCATTGTAAGTACTGACTGAGGCGATACCGCTGACTGGGACGTCTATGTTGGGAGAGGTGTAGTTTCCGAGAATGGCGGTGTTGAGAATTAGTGTCATTACACCGCGTTGAGATGTAGCAGTGTTGTTTCCGAATATCTGAGAAGCGTAGAAATCGCAGATTGGGGTGTTTGTTGGACGTTGTGCTTGAACTGTTGCCATGGTGGATAGGAAGAGTATGAGGTTGAGAAATATCATGATGTGATTGAGGGGAAGTCCTTGGATTGGTGATAGATGTGATTTATTGGTGTAAAGAAGACTGAAAGAAACGTATCTAGTTGTAGAATACTAATAAGTCGAGGTTAAAGAAAGTTGATATGGTTGTTCTTCACGAAAAGAAAAAGGAAAGACTTAGATTGAACCTGCACCTTTATACTTCTAAAGTGACTCGACTATGCCTATCGATTGAAACAGAAATAATAACAAAACACCGCCTCCAAAGTGCAAGATGATCCCCAGTACCCTGCCATCAGGAATGAAAGATGCACATCTCGTATATTCCAACAACCACCGACCAACAGAGAAGACCATGCAATTCACGCAAATAACCACAACCATCCTGTAACAAATCTATATGTTGCTAAGGATAAGATAGAATGGTCCCATTACCGTATTTATAAATAAGGGGTGGGCTGGAAATGAAACGAATCTGACAGCTAATTTCAGATGGTGATGAAAATGGTTGAGGCTGATATGCAAGCGGCGTGTATGCAGACGCGCTGACGATAAGCATGTAAGCGAGCGAGCAGCAATTTTCGAATTGGGGGATCTGGGGATGCTAAATAGGAACCCTTGAGATTACTTTATCTTTTCTGATGCCCAGAAGTGGGAAGTTGGCTTCTGGTGATGGACAGTTTATAGTTATCAACCTCGTGATTCAAGGGTGGGAAATGCTAAGAATCTCACGAGAAATGTAAGTATTGTACTGTTGATACAAGAACTTTATACTGAGTGCCTTTCAAGTTGAACAACTATAATATTAAGCGAGAAATTCGTCGGTGTCCTTAGATCAACAAGTACTTTAGAAACTTTAGTATGATGTTATCTTACACATGCATGGAGAATAACGATTGAAACCCCTGCGAAAGCGCGAAGAGAAAGCTGGACTTTTCACGATAAAGGAATGATGTAAGTTACAGGCAAGTGACTCAGGCGATTGCAAACCATTCGGCGAAATTCGTTGAATTGTTGACGAACTTCGAAAGCTAAGTAACAGTTAGGGCTGCTATACCCTATCAATTTTGATTTGGTTCAACCGAAGGATAACATCGGCGTTCCCTGAAGCCACAGACAGGGATAGTGTCCAGCTTGGAGTTTGTATTAATATTCCAATCATCGGATATCAATCATTATCGTTTGGACGAAGTCGGAATATTTCTTTTAAGCAAAAGACTCGAGACAACGAAAATTTGAATATGATACGCGCTCAGAGATATGCGACAGGCAAAAAATAGATGAGTGCTACCATAATACCGCTGCACATGTCACACACCACCAAACAACGAATGATCGCTTTAAACCGATATTGAATTCTAAATCTACCGAAACTGGATGAGAGGAAAGCAATAGAAAAGGGATGATCCTGCCTTTAACTAGCACTGAGTTCAACCAATGTAATGTGACCTTCTTACTTTCCGTCCGAAGAAGCAAAAAGTGAGCCTATGAATAGGGGGGAGGAAAGCGGGGTAAAGTATGGCAGTGCAACGTCTGACACGCCACAAATTCGCCTGGGCGACCCTTCTGCGACAAGAAGGCAACACCTTCAAATCGAGTACAAAAACGTGTGGTATTTGGGTGACATGTGTTAGCGTTGTAAATTGATATCGAAGCGGCCTCATTCACGATGGGTTTAAGCCGTCAAAGAACGTTAAGGGGCGAGGTGGGGAGTCTGTGGGTGAATGGAGTCAATGGCGCTTCCCCGGACCCACTTCCCCAGATTCCCCGCAATATCATTCGTCTCGCTTCCATAAATCGATTGCGGACAGCCAATCACAATTCATGGGCTCATTCCTGGCCGTATCTGTCCAACTGTAACTCGAAGGGGTTTGCCTGGCTGTCAGGCAGGTCAAAGTGACCTGAGAGGTATTTGTACGACCTCTCCCTCTACTCCTCTTTCCGTTCTCCTTCATCCTCTCATCATCCTCTTCAAATCATCAACAACAAACACTTCATCATCTCGATATCACATCTACACATACCACCAACACACCAAGACAAAGACTACTCCACAACTATCACGATGCTTCCAAAGGCCCGTTCCTTCAACCGATCCACCGGCGTCGTCGTCGGCCTGTCCGGTACTTGCGCAGCGGCTCCACTTCTCTTCTTCATCCCAGGTGCCGAAGAACGTCTCGTTCACCAGGCTTCCAAATGGGGCCCGCGATGGAACAGAGGTTTCTCCAGAATGACTCCAGCGGTACAACGCGGTGCTGCAAGGGTCGAACCAAAGATGCAAAAGACTGTCCAAGTCGTCGAGCCACCTTTCAAGAGAGCTGCGATGTAAGTATCATCTTCTGTACTGACCGCTTCAACCAACACTTACCGTATGCACAATATCACATTTGCTGATACATCTATGTGATAGTGCAATTGACCGAAACATCAAACGCATCTTACCACGAAAGGAGTAGAGGAATGGAGCGACGATGCATCAAAGACTGTTAGCATGGGAGAGCTGAGGACTGTACCTATGGATACATGCAACTGGCGTTCGTCCGATACACGATAAATCGAGACAAGATGTGGAGTTATTTGATGGATTTGATCCAAATGAAATGGATGGTGTGACATGTATTGGAATGAGTTTCTCGGCGTGGAAACATTAAACACAGTTGACAACAATACGACCAGCATCCACACTCGAGTCAACTGCAATATTTCATGTTTTCTGCTGATGGAAATTCCGTTGAGTTGTGATTATTTGTCAAGTTCCTGTTTTGATGACTGAGCCAGCCTCATATCACCGACCGAGCCCACTAGAGTAAGTAGGTACAGTAGCCACAGCCATTTGTAATCAGACTGCTTGCACCATCACCACAACACCATCTGATATCGTGATAGGCCAAGTATCCGCCTGGAACTACAGGAGTTTGTAAGCCATAGAGATAGGCTAAAAAAGTATTCACCTTTGGGGAACGCACCTCATTTATAAGCCCACCAGTGATTACCGACCTGACAATCTACTCTTTGTCGACATCAACTACACAACCCACTTCTTCTTGAGTACCAGAGAACATCAATTGCAAATCTTAGACGCAAATCCAGACAATTCCGAATCGAATGCAGCCATTTCCACGCACCATCAAACCCCCTCCACCCCCCAAGAAGAACATGTCAGCGAGAGAAACCATCTCCCTGGCGCACACCGCGCGATGCAAACTCATGCTCGCAGCCGATAAGCCAGATCGCAACCTACAATTTATCCTGGGACATGCCTTCACACTTGACAAGCTGCGCCTACGGGTCCTCGAAATCGAAAATGAGGCATTGTTCAGCGACAGCGACTCCGACTTCGACGATCCTCCGATCTACGACGAGTTCGCAGCTTCAACCCCCGGTCAGAATGATCCGACCCCGCAGCGCGTCAGTTTCCCTACCCGTACTAACGCTCGCCCCGCCCGACCAAATAATGCTCGGAATCGAAGTCCTCCTCCGAGTGCAGACGCGCATCACGACGACGAGTACGACGAATATGCGGATGAGGATGATGAGGAGGAAGGGGGTAATGGTCTGTCGTTGAGACGATTTGAAAGTGCGAGTGCGCGCCCGCCGAGGATGATTGATGATAGAGAGGGAGATTCGGATGAGGATGATGAACCTATTTCCCCTCTGCAGATCCCAGCGGATCTCGATTTACAGTCTATCACGACTGGTCCGGAGAATGAGGAGTTGGCGGGATTGTATGGACATGTCAAGGGTTGTCCTTGTCATGGTCAACATCAGAATGCTCCCGATATCACGAAGGCATGGGAAGTTCCAATGAAGCCTGGTCAAAAAGGAAAACGGATTGCTGTGGTTCAAATTGAGGCGTAAATTGCATGGATATCTTGGGAATCAGAAGGGAGATGCTCTGGAGCTAAATTGGGGTGTGAAATACTGCCTCTCTGGTGATTTTAGGTTTAGTGAGCTACCACTTAGTCATCAGGGATGATACAATGGATTTATGGGCGTTGCACGGGTTTGCTATGATACCAATATTTGATTTGGGAAAGAAATATCAGATAGGAGACAATTCTTCTTGCAATTACACATTCTGCCACATCTCTCCATTAGTGGGGAAGTCCTAGGAAATGTTCGCATTTTGCTAACTCGGGGAATTATAGATTACTAAACTTATGATTGATGTATCTGGTAATTGTCCTTAAAGTCAATGAACAACAAAGAATAGTCAATTCAATGAATCCGAAGATCTGAGGCGTGATGCTAATAACTGAGTCGCAAAGACCTTTCTATTGCTGTACAATTCTCCACTTAGAGCCTGTACGAGTAGGGCTAGTATCCATACCTGTCAAAGCATTATGCTCCCAATTAGTGACCTCAGTTGACGCTAGTTTGTTTCTTTCCCTATTTAGTTTAGCGGACTTAAGTGATTGATGTCTTCTTAGAGAAAGTAATACTATCGTATTCAAAAAACTGCTAACTCGACGATCGTAACCCTTTTATATGTAAAAAGCAACACCTCTTTTTCCCTCCCTTTCAGAGCCCAATCACATCTAAAGTTCCTAGGTAAGATATGCTGATTCATGGGAAAGACGGGTCAAAAGCCACATACATTGCGTTTTGGCAGAGCCGGAGATCACATTAGTGGTAGTAAAAAGGAGATAGATGATATATTTGATAGTGACGACGAGGATGTGTCGATGGGTTTAATTCTGCTTGAATATAGATTGGAAAATGGGTTTTTGCTTGATATTTTACGTTGATGAGGGGCATAATGAGGGGTATTTTGGAGCGAGTAAGTTAGTGAAATCCATAGAGTATCATTTCTGGCCTGGGTTGGAGTCTTCTTATCTAAAAATATTATCTAATACGATCCAATAATATACCGATCAATACGGTGTTTTGCATTGCATCGCAGTGCGGCACCCAAACTCCCACAATTCCAAAGTTAGTATGGGTATGGTAGCCTAAAAAGAGTACTACCTTTCAAAGACCCCCTGGCTTTTCTTGCATGTAGTGCAACCCGAATCTAGCAATCGGTGCAGATGATCCGCGGTACAACGTTTCTGCGTCCGATGGACCGAATTGAGCCTTTTGCACCATGCCTTCCAGAAGGAGTACGTTGCTTGATACTGTACTTGGACCTACACATACCCTAGTTTTTCCGGCAGTTTGTACAGTATGAAGAAGCTTCAACCTTTTAATGATTAATGATCTAGAAGAGTTCATCCGAGGAATGACCAGGTTCTGTTGCCGCATAATCCAATTGGGCGTGAAAGTACTACCTTAGCTTTAGGTGAGAGTAAGCTGAGCCGCATTATTGCATTGTTTTTGATTGCCGTATGGTATAGGATACGCGGGTGTCATCGGATGTTTAGTAACAATATTGATTCTGCTCTCTTGTTTTTCCTGAATCAGCGGGCTTGGAGCCATCGTGACCATCTAGAACTTACTCGTGTGCTTACTCGTGTGGTTGATGAAGATGATATAAAGACCAATCATCTTTCCGTTATATACCCTAGAAATCAGTTCTTTTCTGTACTCGAAGACAGTCAATTACTGTGGAAATAAAATGGTGCAAATTGCAAATACTTTCCGGTTGATCTTGGGATCCCTTCTTGCTGCTACTTTGGTCTCTGCAGTACCTACGGCAGATACAGGATCTCTGCTTGAAAGACAATCAAATGGCAGACTTGTCTTTGCTCATTTCATGGTAAGTTTTGCCTCACCTCTCGTTTCGTTCCCTAACATAAACATAGATTGGCATAGTAGGCGACCGCGCGAGCCCAGCCGATTATGACAACGACATGCGCAGAGCCAAAGCTCTAGGAATTGACGCCTTCGCTCTTAACATTGGTACCGAGACTAACACCGACCAACAACTCAATTACGCATATCAATCTGCCGCCAACAATGGGATGAAAGTTTTCATCTCGTTTGATTTTGCTTTCTGGAGCACGGGTAATGGTGCAGCTGTAGGGGCCAAAATTGGTCAGTACGCAGGCTTACCGGCTCAATTGTTTTATCAGGGGAAGGCTTTTGCGAGTTCCTTCATCGGAGATGGAGTGGATGTTGGGGCTTTGAGAAATGCGGCTGGAAGAGAGGTGTTTTGGGTGCCGAATTTCCATCCCGGGCAGAGTAGCTTTGGGGCACTAGATGGTGCCTTCAACTGGCAAGTAAGTTATTTTCTATGGTAAGAATTCTGCTTTTGATACAATTCCTAATTTTGATAGGCGTGGGCAAGTAATGGAAACAACAAAGCTCCTACACCAGGACATACCGTTAGCGTTGCAGACGGTGATGCGGCATACAGATCAGCTCTTGGTGGGAAACCATATCTTGCACGTAAGTTTTAACCCCAACGCTCTTTCTGCTGAGAATTTTAAATTTACAAACCAGCTGACCCTTTACAGCTGTGTCCCCATGGTTCAACACTCATTATGGCCCGGTAAGTTTCCATGGGCCAAATTATGCGTTTCTTTTGCGTTCCAAGAACTAATATAATACAAACCTAGGAAGTTCCTTACAGCAAGAATTGGGTATTTCCTTCTGACCTTCTTTGGTACAACCGCTGGAACGAGATTCTCACACTCGGCCCTCAATTCTTGGAGATCATCTCATGGAACGATTACGGTGAGTCACATTATATTGGCCCACTATCATCGCTTCATTGGGATGACGGAAATTCGAAATGGGTAAATGATATGTGAGTTTCATTCCCAAAATTCTCTAGCATCAATTTCGAAGCTGATATTATTTCAGGCCACACAATGGTTGGGGAGACATGGCAAAGCCATTCATCGCAGCTTATAAAGCTGGATCTCAATCAGTAAACAATTTCATCACCAGCGATCAGCTGGTCTATTGGTACAGACCCACTCTGAAATCACTCAACTGCGATTCCACCGATACAACAATGTTACCCGCCAATAACGACAGCGGCAACTACTTCCAAGGAAGACCCAACGGCTGGGATTCCATGTCCGACTCCATCTTCGTTGTTTCTCTCCTCACATCCCCTGGAGTCGTAACCGTAGTCTCAGGAGGCAACACAAGAACATTCAATGCTCCAGCCGGAGCTTCTGCTTTCCAAGTCGATATGCAAGTCGGCCAACAAGCATTCTACTTGACCAGAGGAAGCAACACGGTCCTTAGTGCCGTCTCGCTCAAGAACGTCTCTCCAACTTGCATCTGTGGTCTCTATAACTTCAACGCTTACGTCGGTACCGTCCCAGCGGGTTCCCCAGATCCATTAGGACGCGATGGCATCGGTTCACTCACCGCTGGCCTGAGAGTCTCAACCTGTGCAGCAACACCAACTCTCTCCACCGTCCCGCCATCAGCCACGAATCCCCCTCCAACAACGACAGCTCCACCTACCACTACACCACCCCCTAACCCCGGACAGGTGAGTCCCACTTTTCCTTCTCCAGGTTCTCCTATCCACCCCCAAATAAGTCACAAGTTCATACTGACACCAATATTTCGGAAACAGGTCTGCATAGCAGGAAGAGGAGATGGAAACTACGGCGGTCTCTGCAGTTTCTGTTGCAACTTTGGATATTGTCCTCCGGGTCCTTGTGTTTGCACAGCAACGGGCTCTCAGGTCCCGCCACCGCCTAATACTGGGACTGTTGGTGTTCCGTTGCCGGGAGAGGATGCTAGTTATCTGGGGCTCTGTAGTTATGCTTGTGATCATGGGTATTGTCCTAATACTGCTTGTATGGTTAGATGAGAGGTTAGGTAAGGTTTTGGGGTCGTGAAATTTCAGGGTAACAAGAGTGGAGGTGGAGAGACAAGAAGGGCCAAATTGTGGATATATATTGCGAAGGGTTGATTTGAGATGTTTGGTGAGAACAAGGAATAAGATACAATAGACTTGCACTGAGACTCTGTCGACTTCGTGTATGCCATTAAGATCTCAGACCAAATTATGCTCACCAAGTATGGGATTACTCAATTATAACACTATTCTATTGACTTCTGGTAATAAGGCACATGATCTTGTAAGTGAGGGGTAGGTTTACTATTGAGCAGTTCCATAATCGGTGAGTCAGGCATACCCTTTCTCTTACGGCCTATCTGGCTTCTTGTGAATGTCTGAAATGCTTTCAGCTCAGAGTCCAGTCATCTGTCCAACCCTCATACAGTCATTCTTTGCAGTCATTCGGCACTTACTTCTGTTGTCCACAAAGTTCCTAGTCATAAAAGGCTCTGGGTATACACCTAGATTCCCTTCCATGTCTATTTTGTAATCCTATATGATCTCTAATTCATTCTAGTAACAATTTGTAGCTTACTATATAACCAACTATGACATTAAAGGTCAGTCAGCCAAGACAATCACAACACAGCCCCTTACGATTTGAGAGCTATGATATAGTAGATGAAAGAAACTCGAATGGGATAATTAAGCAATGAATCTCAGATACCCAAAGATCTAGGTTTGCTGTTGGGGTAGGAGTAAAGACCATAGACAAATACTTCTCGTTCATTGTCCAAATCACATGTGTATCTACTGAATCGCCCTATAGTGATTTTTTTGGTTAAGAGCTTTTGTCTACAGTATAAAAATAGATTCTATCTAGTCTATTAGCTGAGTAATATACGCTCACCCGTCAGGTGCTATTGGTTTCTTTGACATCTACGGTGAATCACTGAAGAATTTTGTGATTAAGGGCATTTGAGGGTAATTAAGGCACAACTGTGAATGTGAAGATTCTGAGAGACATTGCCACTTAAACTCCTCGTCTACTCACAGCCACTGTAGATCGCAATTATAAATACGTAGACCAGGATCAAAAACTCTCCATCATTTGCAATCAATCTTGTCTTCTGCCAAGTTCAATATCGCTAAAGCATTACCAAACCTATTGCGACCTCTGGAAAGTCTCCAAAATGACACTCTATTGTGAGAATCAACAACGTTTCAAGGATACAAACGTTCTTTGTGACGGACATTCAGTAAACATTTTGAACCCCACAGCTGTCTGAACACGTTGAAGCTAATCAATACCAGACTATAGAACAACAGGGAATAATCCAAAATTGCGCTCGCAACACTTCAAGAGGCCCTCCACCTGACGATTCTGAGGTTGGCCACCGGAACGCACCAACAAAATCCAAGTCTCTTGCTGCAGATCAACCAGATTGCAATATAGTCAAACGCGCACCTACCAAGAAAAAGAAACCTGCTATAGCAGAGCAATCTAAAATACCTAGCTCGAAAACTGTCCTCAGACCACGACCAGTAGAAACGGAAGATTTCAAATCCTCTCCAAAACGAGAACCACAGCCCGAAAACATGTTTGCGACCCAGAGGGTTGAAGACAGATCTACGACGGCTAGAGGACGAAAGTACAGCACTGACTATGACCGGCGGGTACAACCACAAAAGCCGAATATACAGGCACGGGAGAAATACGGGGGTGTTTACCAGAATGCAAGATTGAAGGCAAGACAGGGACACAGTGATCTCAATTCACAGTCTATGCTTATGTCGTCTATGCCCGGCTATGATGAGTGTTATTCGGCACCTGGAATAAACCGCAATACTCAAGATATGCAACTTCTGTATCAACCATTTCAGCCTCAGTACTTCCCTGCTGTCAGTTATTCGGAACCGGCAACACTGGCAAGACCCAATCCTCCAATGCAGGTTTTCCAGGAACCTACAACATACCCACAACTAGGCTTTCCATCCACAGCATATTCAACTGCGCCAACGAATTATTCTATGACTGCAAATTCGACGATGAGAAGCACACCAGCGATGTCCAATACCCTCGTTCCAAATGTTTGTGCTTACAAAAAATGTAAAAATAACCACAAGGCACCAGTCATACCAGACTTCGCTGGTTGTTGCTCTGCAGATTGTCACATGAAGGTGGGATAATTTTCGGCTCTATGACAATTGAATGGCTAATAATAAAGATATAGGCCGTCGCAGAAGAACGAATAAAGTTGCAGTGAACCCAACAGAATTTCCTACTCAAAAGTACCAAGCGCAGGCAGGAACCCTTACTAAAGTGCTATCATGTCGTTTTGGTGGCCATATTCTGCGTTGTCTTGTCTTGATTTGCGAAACCGCACCTTGAAAGGTTAATCTAATTTGACAACGTCACCTATACATTCATCATTAGTATCCGTTGCGTTGCTGACGACCGGGCACACCATAGGGCGATTTTGGTAATTCTTTTTGGCCTAAAGTTTTGTTAGCTAGTTACTTGTTAGTAATGTACATAGCGCGGCGATTTTTATCCCAATCAAAAGTACTCTTTAAATTCCATCAAATTGTGTATCGTTGTTCCTTGTGAAATGAATTTATTGGTTGGCTGCTTGTCCAAATTCCAAGGTGAGCCAGAGAGTTTGAGATTCTTTCAAATTTGCCCAAGATAGAACCATTAGGTAGACATACTAAGAAAGGGTAACCCATGCTTAACAGACAGGTAGTATATCCTTCATACCTAGGATGCGCATTCTCGTATTTATCTGGCAATACCATGTTGCGAATAACGTACTATAGAGTCAAACTATCAAGCATATACTTATGTTTGGAAATGAACCACAGCCTACAAGCCGCATGATTCACGAAACACAACGCTGCGAGGATATTAGACGGGTTCGCAGAGTGGGTTTCTCGCTTCCTTCCCCCAAATTTGAGGTCCATGATTCAATACTCCAATTTAATCTGACTCAAAGAAGAGAGCCCGAAAACAATGTGCCTTTGAAATAGCGATCATGGTAGGACTTCTACTCAGAAGGATGTCTAGTCCAAGTCTGCCTGTATCTGAAGTCTTTAAGGTCCTTTCCCAAGCCAACTAGGGTGGGTGTCAGATATGAGTTACCGAATCACAAGCTCACTTAAGGCTGACGGGAAGCTGTGCATAAATCACTGATCGCCAATAGATGTAGACACTGTAAACCTTTCTCTGTACTGGCTTCTGGGGTCTTGGAGGGGGCTCACTAGAATTTGACGTAATGTTTGGGCGCTGAATGACATTGAAGTGATGCCAATTAATATAAGCAGCTGATAATAATATTGGAGGCTTTTACATAACCTAAGCTGTACAAGAGAGAAGTTAAATTGGAATACGCCACTGTTCAAAACTGAACAACTATACCACGACCGTCTGTAACATCTTCTAGTGCAACTCTAGCTATCATGTGTTTTCTATTAACAGGCAATCATAGATATCCTCAGAAGTACTATACATTCGTATTATACGAGATAACATCCATTAAAGTTAGTGCTTAAGTGGGTGAGAAAGAGATTTTCGACGACTTTGGGTCTATAGAATTGGCTAATCCATCACTATTGAATAAAGATACACTTGCTCAGATATTGAGAATATAAGTAAGTACGTGCTGTGAGATACCAGGGAAACCACTTCAAAGTTACTGTTCACGATTATGCAGATAAAGAGCAAGGCCATGATTACCAATAACGGATCTGTCATTCTCAAATTCTGAATGCAACGGCACTAGCATGAATCAAACTGCGCCAAAGGCAGTTAGTTTTTATTCCGTTTCTTTAATCTTGGCTAGATCTTCATATGCTCTGTTGGGGAATGTTAGATGGGGTGTATACTCTTGAGAATCAGACCACTTGGCACTAACCAACTTCCAACTTGTTTTTTTATTGTTGGATCCTTTGTGGGGCTGTGATTCATAGGTTGGATTTTGAAAATTGGTGGTTAGAGTGTTAGCAATATGTCAAACCAAGAAAGTTCTGTTAAAGGCACAGATTGTGACCGTGAATATAACCACAGGAGGTAAGAAAGTCCTGGTTCTGGCTACGCATCTGCGCTTCAGAGCATTAATATAACCCTCAATAAATGTTGTTATCTGCATACTGTTACTACATCTTCACCAGTTGTTTACGTAACGCAAGTTCAACATATCCAAAGTGGCAGATCCTTGCCGCACAGAAGTTATGGTTCTACAGAGCACAGGGAAACACGAAGTGTAAACCAGCATCATAATAGGTGGAATGACAATCCGCTATTAATAAGGCCTCCACGACATAATCCTCACATGATGTTAAAAGGTATAGTGAGTAGAACCCATATTGTATTGCTTGAGGAGTATCTCTAAAGGGAATACTCCCCTACTTATAGATACATGAGATTAGATGAGTGGATAGATCCACTATTATGGTACATGATATTCAGCATATGATACATGCCCACTCTAAGCCACTTTCCCAGGGCTGTGAATCAAAACGATTCTTGGTTGTTCTTCAAGGTTTGAGGGTCCGCTGAGTAGGTTCTCTAAATTGGACCCAGATGACTCGGTAAATCGTGTTGGGGATGAGCTTCCAGCTTCAAAGAAAATAATGATGCATGTTCTATTTTCAGACTATTCATTACTAATTGATACAACCAATATACAGAGATTGCTGTAACCGTGTTCAAGTACTATCCTAAGTAAACAAATAATCCCCAAAGATAGAAATAAAAGCGCTGGAAAAAAAGGAATATGATAATGAACATATGATTCATGATTCATGGCACCTAAAATGAATTATAAGAGTATAGCAGACCTGATGTCGGACTGTCCAAGCCACGAGAAGGTGTTGGTTAATCTCAGTGAGAGTAGTACTTTCCTACACATGTACCTAATATTACCCTCTCTTTGTTGCCTATTGTGATGTTATGTTAGGAACCAACATTAGAGAAAGACAAAGGAGTATATGAGTAGCTTAAATATGACTCAGAACCCAAACCGCCATATTATTCACAACATCCTGTTGTATGAAGGTATAAAATGGGCGCTCAGATTGACCTGTTTTCCTTGTTTATTGGTGCGGCAGGATAATTGTGTACAAAAATCTAATTATAGTTTTTGTTTAGTACTATTATTCGCGATACTGGAAAAAAGAAAGTAGTTCCACCAGGATAATGGGCATCTAGGTTAGGGCTCGTGGATAAACTCAGTGTTTCTGGCATTGGAGAATAATAGCTTGTGGGTTACCTGAAGTCATCCTTGTGGTGATTAGCAGTTAATTGCTAGTAGTGGTACAGCTTTGAGCGCTATCTCTCTACCTATACATAACCATAGCTCGTTGAATTATTGCATGGATTTTAATAGACTCAAATATTCAAATTAATGGTGTTTTAATGTCTTAGAACCGCCGCGACAATAATACAGAATCAAAGGCACTATACGGATTGCCCGCCTGCTCCGATAATCACCATCTATTCCATTAAGCAAATTCAATACCGACAGGCTTATCTCCTCACCTTGCCGCTAAACCCCCTCAGGACCCCCTCTACCCAAGCTTCATCCCTTTATAACCCCAAATAATACAACCAGGTTTAACTGAGGATTAGAAAGTGAGGTGAATAACAAGGTGAAGCGGGGGTATTAAGCGAATGATTAAATCACGTTTTCATTCATTTCGCACTTCTATAAGGAATCATACTGCGTGAGATATTAGCTACAGGTCTTGCTAGTTCTTGCAAAGCATTCAACTTCAATTAAGGAAATAAGAACACTCGCTTAACACCCCGTGCCACAAATCTCATCGCTTTAGCATCCAGTACATACGAAACATGACAACATCATTTGCGCTCCGTCTAATCTTTCACTGCCATACCCCTCTCTTCATAATAAAACGAGCTACTAGTAGGTCTGGTGGGATAGGAAAACCTCTAGATCGGCTTCTACAAAAGTACCAAAAGCAAAGCTATGCATACGGAGCCTCTAAGCTCTTTTACTTATTTATTTGCATATACAGCTTCTGATGCAACGTCTCATAATATGCTTAAAGGATGACTAACAAGATAATATACTCTGGTTTGCGGTGAAAACAGAGGCTCTACAAATTTCTTCCATAATTGGTTAGAAGATATATTGTCGGTATAATATAATCGGGTATATTCACTCGATTGTATGCTATACCCGATCAGGCAACTACACTCGATTAGGTAGCTACACTCGACCGTACAGGGGTAGGGCTTGGCACCACTAT